TGCTTATATGGGGTTGATGTTGCACACTCCTTCCTCCCTGAAAACAGAGGCTCACGGCTATACAGACATGATACAAACGATGCTGCCGGGAATATAAGACCTTCTGGGGCAGGAGAAAGAGCGGCGAATTAGTCTGCCTATTTCTGGAAATCCTAGAGACCTCTGGGCAGAGAAACTACCCCATGACTTCTCTGCAGACCCATAACTCTCTTTTCCAACAGATGATGAGACAAAAGTAATAGAAACTGAATTTTGTTGGAATTTCTCTAGAGACTTGCTTTTTCCTTTGTAGATTTCCATAGCTGCATATGACGTGGCAAGGCAGTACCTTGCAAAGCTGTCTATAGTATTTTTCAATATGGATGTCAAACCATACAGGCCTTCACTCACTGCTCATCCAATTGGTGCAGAGCCTATGGTGCACAGATCCTGACATGTCTGTGTGCTAACAGCAAAAGGAATAAATAATAAAGAATAATAAAGTACCTGAGTTTTCAAAGAGTCTTTCATCCTAGCTGGTATAAGATCCCCCTCACCTTCTGAGATTTCTATCCGTGGTATGGTCATTAGAACTTTGAAGCTTCTTTTAATTAAATCAGCTAGAAAATGGCCTAAGGTCTACTGGTTCTCTCCAGTGAATAAAATACAAAGCCTGTTCTAAAGTGTTTCAACAAACATGTAGAAATTTGGGTAAACTAATTATTTCAAGTGAAAAAAAAAAAAAAAGAAAAAAGAAAAGCTGTGTTTTCTCAGTTTTTGGTAGTAAAGTCAACTGCTTTCGAAATTATTTAGGATCTCCCACAAACTGTATGTAATTTCAAAACTGTTTTTGTGTCATTAGAAGAGAAATTATTTGCTTTGTTCTGCCTTTCCCTGCCAAGCTTTATTTCTCATTTCTCGGTATGATCATCAGCAGAAGTTTATGAGCACACACAGCATTCTTGATTGATTCAATATTACATCAATTTCTGGCCATAATAAATGATACTGAGAATAGTTTCTTCTCATTTTCTTACAAAACAAACTGTTCTCTCCTTTTTGTTTCTTTCCTGATGATTCTAAGAATGTCATACCATTTCCACTTCCTCGTTGAAATGTTCACAGAGCAGGTAATGAGCAGTAGGAGGTGAAGTCTCTGCTAACAGGAGTGAGGCTCAGTGGAAGTCTGCAGCAGAGGCAATTTTGTGAGACGCAAAATTTGTAGCTTTGAGCTCCCTACATGATATCCCAAACATTCTGCCTTTTTAGGGCTGAGATTCTGTCAGACAGATTTCATCTGATCATATTATGCTTATTTATTCAATTTTCCTCATAGTTCATTGTATACAAACCCATAGAAACCTAAGACTGTTGCAGTTATTGTCCTGAAATCTGTGTCAACAGACTGCTTCAACAAGATTTTCTAAAGTCACCATGCTGTTTGGCATTCAAACACAGTAATAAACTCTGTAACTAAAGTTTGTGTACTTAATTATTTGAAAAAGAGGTTAATTTAGGCAATTTTGTCTGGTCTAACAGAATTTCAACATAAGCCACTTCTCCAGTGTATCTGCAACTACGAAAATGCCTGAAAAATACAGATCTTTAGACAATCTCAGGTGTCCAGAAAGCCTCCTTATTCAAGTAGGCGTAGGTGCAACAATCAGCACAAGGAAAATTATCCTCTAAAAATAGACTAGCCCATTATCTCACTTATCCAAGTGTATTACTCAGATTGCTCCTTTCAGCCACCTACACCTCTCTGAGAAAAGATCAGAGAGAAATATACTGTATGCTGTTCATTCCTCTTGTGTCATGCCCATCCCTCCATGCTGCTCCCTGAGCAAATTCCTGGCATTGCCTACTTCTGTGGTGTGCCCATGGCCAGGGAGCTCCTTCTGCTTGGACCCTCAGATATCACAAAAACAACTTTGATTAATCCGCCTGTAATTCAATTCATCCTTTTCTTTATTCTCTAAATCATCATAATGCATTCCTTACTTCAAAAGTCCAAATATCATTGCTGGAATATACACATCCCAATGAAATTCAAAATAGTTCTTATTATTTGAACAACCTTTTAAAAAGTGTAAACACACTAAAATAATAAGCCAATTGTCAGACATGACTAAAGGAATAAGAAGTTTTCCTGAACACTGTATGAACAGAGTGACTGATTTAATATTCCTCTTTGAAACAGCTTTCCCTACAATATATTAATGCATTTTTCCATCACAATGGCTAGATTCATATCAGAGAGCAATTGCACTTCTTTCTGTAAACAGAAACAATTTCTAAGAGCATTGTATAAAGGGCAACGGATAATTCTCATTTATTTATAAAAGGAAAACCTCTTAATAGGCTGGTGGAAGAAGAAATTGAAGGAATAGAAATCTAGACCAAAAAAAAAAAAAAAAAATCACATTCAGAATTCTCTCCCTTGGTATAGAAGCTCTTTGCTTATTTGTGCAATAGCAGCACCCTGCTGCAATCTCATGGGCTAACACAGCATGCCTGTGTCTTCAGGGCCATAGAGGGATGGACGAAGATCTAGCCTGAAAAGCCATCTCCCAGGAAAAAGGAGAGCCTTTGATCAGGTAGACCTCTGGAAGGTTACAGTCTTCCTGTCCTCATACTTTGTTCCTGGGAAGAGCCTTGGTTTCCATCTCTGATGGAACCTCAGCATTGTCAGCTTAAATCAACCCAGTAAAAATGAGCACCAGAACAAAGAGAAAGTTGAGCAGCTAATTGAACCAGGTGTTACTGCTTGCAGTAGTCATCACATGGGTCTGCCCACGTACGCCTTAGAGCGCATCAACATTCTCACAAGCTTCATGTTGGCATCCACTGAGATCCAGAGCCTGCTGATGCTTTGCCTCCATTTTTGCATATGACTAGCATCTGGACACTTTCATCTTGGTGAAGGTATTTAATATTATTGGTTGGCTAACTTGCAAAATATTTCACAGTGAAGGCTTACATTTCTTCCCATCTTTAGCAAGTCTCAAAGTAAAGATTTTTTCTGCTTTATTTCCTTACCCACAGTTGTGTTTTGGACCAACTTCAGGATTAACATTTGCCTTTGATGCACAAGCTACCTTTCTAAAAATAAAACTTCTGATTTTCTTTTTGCTTTTATTTTATGATAGTGCTTCTACAAGATCTATAAACTATTTAGCTGTTGTCTAACAGTGTTAAATAGATAGAATAGCTTTTCCAGTCTGTATAGATTTTCTTTTGCTAACTTATTTGATTGTGCAAAGTAGGGATTTAATAGCAAGTGCTTGAAAAAGATACATCCAAAAATACTGCCCCAGTGACTTAGTTCTGTAAATACTATGACAAAACTATGCACACTCTGAGTTCAGAAACGTAATTCACAGGAGAAGAATAAAGAGAAACCCAGACCATCTGTTTTGGCAAGTTGTTGAGTTTGCCAACAGAAAATTTGTCATACACAGAATTTTAGATTTCTGATTGTCTTTGGCCCAAAATGGTATTTTAAACTGAAAGAGAATGGTTATTTTTCTGCTGCTCAGTTAAAAGCAATTAGGCTTTTGCACACCGCTCAATATCAGTATCATAAACAACTGAAAATCTCAACTACTCACTGTGGCTTTCCCAGATGAGTTAATAGCAGATTAACAGTCTGAGTGACTCATCCTAAAAATTCTTTGAAACATGTATTCAGTCAGACCTACTGGGAAATGAAGCATTTTGTCATAGTGATGAACCCCTTTTAGCTGTAGGAAATGTTTAGCTGTCAGACAATGACAGTCTTTCATTTCTTGCAACATTACATATCCTCCAAGATCCTGTGTTCTAATGTACAAAGTATACTCAAAAGTAAAAGAAATTCAATCAGAATGCAAAACTGTATGTTTTCCATAGACACATGAAGGCTGGTAAATAGCACAAATAATGAATCTGTCACCAGTACAGCGTAAGAATGAGTCCATGTAAGAGTCAAATAATAAATTGAAACTAGTTAGCAGGTTATCAGAATATGAAACTATATGAGTGGGTTATCTAAATGCATCTCTGGCTGTCTAGGTAAAAGTCCATTCTGTTTCATTGCAATAGAGGTAAGGGTAATTCTATTATTCCAATTTCTGCTTCCCGTTTTCAGAAAACCTAACTATCACAGTAAATGCACTTTAGGTGCACATCAGAGTCACTGATTTCTACATATTCAAGACCTATGAATAATTATAATCCCAGTGAACTAGAAAAGTATCGTTAAATCTTTTGAACAAGATCTTTTTCTTTGGTCAAAAAACAAATTATAAGGGTGTGTACAGTACAGTGTGTACAGTAACCCTGAAACGATTAAGAAATGATCATTTCTATTCCACCATCCTTTCACTTTTCCTCAGCCAAGACTGCCACCAGATGCAGGACTCCTTGTTTCCACTATCAGGAAACCATCATATAACCTGTGCCATTGCTCCTTCAACGTGCTGCAGTCTCAGAAGAACCACTGATCAGTAGATTATAGAAAAGGGTTAAAAATTGACTTGAGTTCATTTTTATCTTTCTGCGTAGACTCTGCATGTTCTGATAAAACTTGGAAGAAGCACGGGTTTAAAAATGGCATAGCTGTCTCTGATTTAACATTACTATCACATTAAAATGAATGACAGGAAAAAGAGAATACATATAAAGCCACTCTCACCTTGTATGATGCATGTTCTCAGTTAGAACATTTGTTCCTGCAATGCAAGATTGTCAAAAAGCACCAAATGCATTTGAGGGGACAAACCAAACAGTGGTTCTCTATACAAAGAACCAAATGCAAAATGGAAAGGAGGTTGCTCCAGTTGGTAAATAACAAAGGCATCACAGCCTCTGTAGTCAGCTGAGACTAAAAGCTGTAAAGATGCCCTTTCAGTAAGAGGTGCAAATCCCTACTGACTCACAAGGGTGGGAAAACAATATGGGAGACTGTCAAAAACAACATTTCTCTCACCAGAAGTCACAGGAGACACAAACTTCAGTCATTCAATGTTCTAGTTCTCATCTTATTTCTCTCGTTTTTTTTTTATTTATTTTTTTTACTCTAGGTAATATGAAGTTATGCTTATATTTTACATGCAGATTATGTGCTGGGAGAAACATGCACCCAAGAAATCTTCACACAATAATATATGAATGCACACAAAAAAGTTTGATTATTGTGTTCCAACAGCCTTCTAAGTCAGAATTGAATTCATCCACCACATTTCTGTATTATTATTATTATTATTACTGACCAGCTGGATCTTAGCAGGCAGGCTTCACACCTACAGTTTTAGAGTTAACATAAAGTATTAGAAAAACAGCTTATAAGTTGTTTCTCTCATCCCTTAGTTGATTTAAAACAAATAAGATACAAATTTCAACCATAGTGCAAGCCATATATGATAAATGGAAATTTGCCAAGCATGTATCATTTCAGTGGTAAAATATGCACAAAAATTCAATATGTGATAAACGTGATAAATAATAATATATATGATTATAACTATTATCATTAAGTAACGACAAATAACCACAACAAAACTATTTTCCCTTCTACAGAATCTTGTTATTCGGCATGATTTCCAGAAAATATTATTGTAATTCAGAATGCACAGGTGAGCTCCTCTGATGGACACTGCAGTAAACTGAACATTCATCAGGACTAGGTTTGCTGAAGTTTCTGTGTACTCTAAGCACTGAATAAACAACAAAGTTAATCTGGGCAAACAGCAAATAGGAGGGCCTTACAGTCCTGATTTGAATTATTATTACAGGAAATCTTTCATTGTGCAATTGTTTCTCTGTTCTACATTTGGTTTTGGAAGTAGTTTGACTGTTCACCTCTCTCTTTTCTAAATTGGATCATAAGAAAATAAATACATATATCTCAAATAGTACCTGTGTTTTTATAGACTTCTCAAAGCTGGACTAAGCCTCGTATTAGCATGCTTGATTTATTTTTTTTTTAGACCAGAGTAGAGTGAGCTAACAGGTTACAGAAGACTAAATAATGAATAATTTAATCAGCTGCATCATAATCATATATTAGGAATACTGGAATCATAGAAGCATAGGATAATAGAGGCTGGAAGTCTTGTCCAACCAACTACTCAAAGTTGGATCAATTTAGCAGCACTTTACAGCGTCTTTGAGCAACTTCTTTTAATTTCGTTAAGGGTAGTAGAAAAAGCTTGGAGAGAAAAAAAAAAAAAAAAGAGTAAATCTGAAGGTAGAGACCTCTTGAATGCATTTGTCAGAATACACACGATATCTACCTACATTTTCGGAAATAATTACAGCTGGCAATGGCAAATACTTTTCAGAGCAATTGGACTTGATTTTTATAGGTCTCTTCCACTTGAAATAATTTTAGTTTACCATTCTTAAATATTACTATAGCAAGATAAGACGCAAGAAATAGGCAAAGCTCTAAGCAAAACAATAAAACGTTACTAGTTCTCAGATACAATACTGTGATATCAACCCTTCACTTCAACCACATACTGTCCTGTACTTTACTGTGAAGTACACAAATTCAGAAGACACTCATGGAACACGCTCAGAAAAGAAGAAACCGTTTCTGAGTACAACTCACAGAAGGTCCCAAGGGCCTCACTCAGAAATCTGGAGACAGAATTTCAACTGCTGGCTTTTTAAATGAGTTTTCATTAACTCATTTCCATTCATCTTCAGAATATGAGAGAAGCTTCTTCTCATTCATACTCTATACTATTAAAAAAACCCCAGGGAAATTCATCTTCTGTAAATGACTCTATTAAGTGAGCAGAACAATACTGCATGAATGAAATGCAGGAAAATCAAGTCATTGATTTTTCAACAAGAAATTATGGTTTTCTCTGCCATTACCCATTTGCTTGATGGCTTTATTCTTAGATATGAATATATGGAGCACGGCTTTCATGAAGACCACACAGTTCCTTGCAAATCTATGTTTCTTGCATTATGGTTTTAGTTACTATTTGCCTGACAAAGGTGATGTAGATCAATGGAGAAATGTAACTTTTGAGGTCATAAAAAGATACAGAGATTAAAAACAGTGGCAATTGCTTGGAAAAAAAAGTCTCAGAAAGGTCTGAGATTTAGTTTCAGTAAGAATCCAGCATGGAAGTAATGATGCAAAAAATATCAAACTACCATGATTATTATGTTTTGAAATCTTTGTTCACTATTCTTCATCAAAATATCTAATGTGATAATCAAGACCTCGTTCCTATCCTCCAGAGATTACAAATTACAAAAAGAGATTTTTTTTGTTAATTGTCTACACAGTGATGTTCATGCCAAATAAATCATTATTATGTAAGACCCTGTAAAAACAGAACTACTAAAAATACTCTTATTTGCATGGATCTTGAAGCAGTATGAACAAATGCATTCTCTCTTTGGGGAATGCATTGTGTTTTTGGCCCAAAGCAAAACATCACATCATATCTTATAAAATTTCTTCTCCCTGGCTTCTAATCTAGAGAATTCATAATGCCACTGCCATTCTGCTCTCATCTGCTGTAAGATGGAGCCCCAGTAACATGGTTCTGGATGATCCAAGTTCACTTCTACCGAATCAGCAGATCTGAAGACATTTGTGTCCATCACGCAGAGGAAGCAAAACTCTCTGTGGGTGGATTTGAGAAAATTAGTGTCTGTTAAAATAATTCCAGAAATGTCACATCTGAGCTGGGAGACAACTCAAAATTAGACACAGAATGACAATTACAAAGGGATCAAACAGATCTAAAATTAGTTGTAACTTCTGGGATAAAATCGTATTTATTGTGAGAAAACAAAGTTATTCGTCATACATCTCATAACAACTGATCAAACTGATCTGTTTGGAGAAAGGTAAGAAGTAAGTAAATGACAACTAAAAAATAGAAATTAAGTTTGTACTTTTTTTTTTGTACTTCCAAAAAAGCAGTAAAGAGCTTTTCCTAGGCAATTGTTCTAAAACATTTAACTGTTTATCTTCCTTAACAAGAGCGCTGCAAAGGAAATACAAATAAAAACGCATCAGAAATCTCTACCGAGGTAATGTTGGAAAAGAGTAACTGAATGGAATTAGAGAAAAGAGTTTCCCTTCTTACCTCCGCCCTGATTTTTCTATCTATTTTTCATGTCATCAAAGTTTTATGTCACAGTCACCTTAAAAGCCCAATGAAAACAATGGAATTCCACTTAAAATGCATGTAAATGTCTTGATTATTGAAATGTCAGTTTCCAAAAAACAGTGACACCAACACTGAATAAACAGCCTTGGGAATCACTCTTGCCATGGAAATTAGTTACCATGCAAGCAGCTTAGAATCAGAGACTAAGGCAGCAGCTAAGCATAGAATATAGGTTTATGCCATCAATTTTGTATTTATTTCATATCACAAGTACTCTTTTTTTTTTTTTTTTTTCCTAAACTAGTGCCGTAAGCATCTACTGTATTATACATTATTCACATAAATGACAGGATTTTCTTTTTGATAGTCTGGAGAAGATACATACAGCCATATCTACTCTGTCTCTATTCTCCCTCTGGAATTCCAAAGGCAGCAACTCAATTTCAGGAAACTTGGATCTAGTGAAATAAATTTACAATCCACTTCAGTTCTTCACACGCAAACAAAGAGAATATGTGCTTCATGGTTATTTCAGTCGGTGGCAAAGCTTGCAGCTCAGTACGCTACAAAAATTAAGCCTGCAGTATTTCATCAGAAGACATTTCTGTGGGAAAAAAGATGGTAAAGAGGCATTTTTTTAGGAAAGAAGCAAATATGGCTTACAAGTTTTGGGCACAACAAACATGAGAATCTGAAGAACAATGACAACGAAGAAGCAGAGTTGTCAAAATGAAGAGGAATATGGAAAGGCTGAAGAAGCAATGCATTGGGGTTAGGTGATGGGATTTACCAGTGGCAATGGCAGGGTGACAGATTTCTAGCTCAAATGAATTGAGCTGATTCATTAGACTGATTTTTCTGTGGTTGCACCGCTGCCACTAGAGCCACGGATCTGTAACGAGTGCACAATGCCTTTGAAGAATGCCTACAGTATCCATTTTTTCTTTAGGTTATATTGACCCCTACAGACCTTAAGGAAAGGAATATTACAGTCAAGTACATGTAGAACATGGCCTCTGAGAAGTCACTATCAGCTGATGCACATACGCAATTATTTTTCTTGCAAAAATCTCCTAAAACCCAACTGATTTATTGTTCCTACAGAAAACCTACTGCTACACCAGCAGAAAAATAGGCTCTGGTCCCAGCTGTGAGGAATTTAGCCAGAAGCAGCCTCCATGCTTTACAACACCAAAATGTACAGTGGTGGTGCTTTCCTTAAGCATTTGCAAAGCTCTCTGCAGTGAGACAATTCCTGCACTGAAGTATCTTGAAATTTAATGAGGCTGTTATTTTTAGTTACAATTTGTAGAATCCTATGACATATTTTTGCAGCAATGTAATCTTTCATTAGTCACGGAGATGAAAGCATTCAATTAACTGTTTTGACATGACTGTATTAATAAATCTTCTAGTATTTTCCCAATGATAATACCGCCTTAAAAATTTCCTGGAAGGATTACATATGTTGAGGACAAACAGAAGTACTGCTATAGCCAGTGTGGACAGAACTCTCAAAAATACACCTGGGCATCTAAAAAACACTATAAAATACATTTTTATCACACAAGAAAGAAGACAAAGATCTTCGTCCTGTAGAGAACGTTATTATACGACACACAACAGCCTCTTTTTCCATCCAGATCTGAGCCACTCAGGTAAATATAGCATACTTCTCTCACTAGAAGCTCACATGAACTGAACCAAAGAAGATACATAAATTCCTACAGAAGATGCCTAGGTTACAAACCTGGAAGTTTTTCTTAACTACATGCACAGAACCTTCAAATGTCCCGAAGTCAGTGGAACTACAACTGTTCATGAGGAATACATGAAGTCATGAAAGGTCCCCAAAAGCATGCGGCTGTGGCCTTAAAGACAGAGATCTATTCAAAGCACTTCATAGAGATTTTGGTTCGTGTCTTTTTAGGAATATAGTGGAAAGACACATTCTAAAGCATTCCTCTATGTTATCACTGCAATTCAATAACATCTCAAAAATAACATATTTAATATCAAAGACATGTCCTTTCAAGACATCAGAAGTCTACTGAATGGAAGACAACATCAAGAGATTTTCCCACCAGTTAGCCAAAGCCATCTCTGCTGAGCTTTGAGTGCATCTGAAGCTGGAAGATTTTCAATATTCAGTATAAAAATATATAATTTTTATCATTAAGACAAAAAAACATTCCATAAATCTGACACATTTTAAAACGTACTAAGGCAACCGCGCTTTTTGAGGTCAAATATCTTTTGGCTTGATTTCCTGATCTCTCGTTATACTACTCTCAACACATTTCTAAAATTCAACTGCTTTGTTCACATAACTCTCTTTTCTTTCCCTAAACACAAAAGTTTAGACTGCTTACACCTAGCTAAGGGTTTGTTTGTTTTCTTTTCAATGGCTACTTTTCTACTTTATCTGCCTTCTCACACCCTCTGCCCCTTCAGCCATCCCCTCTACAACTCCCATCAATCAAGATGACTAGATTTTGGTGACAAAAAATGATAATCTTGTCGTTAAAACTAGCTACCTGAGCTAATCACACTGATCTTCAATTTAAAATTAAATTGAAAATAAGGAAGAAAACAATATTTTTTCAAATAATCACATTTTGACAGAATTCAAGAAGTGCTCCTTCTGTATCAAAATGATCTAGGTGATGCTCACTTTTTGAATCTAACAGTATATACAGGAATGTAACTAATGCCATTAAAAATATCACTGCAAATATAATATGTAATGAACAAGAATTTAGTCTTTTTGTTTTTTGAACTCACTTTCCCTTTCTCCCAAAGACTAAATGCTCTCTAATATCCTATGAGTGAGACACATTAGATACATTATAGATTAAAACAGTCTTGACTGTCAGCTACACCTAAAGTGTTCAAAAAGCATCTGAGTCAAAGACTGCTGAAGTTCTCTGGCATTTTCTATTCAGCAGGCTTTGGATTAAGTCCACATTGACCACAATCACACAGTCTGAATTAAAACAAATGTTCCTGATCAGTAACGTTAGCAGCAGTTGAACGTACTGATGAAATATTAATTCTGCCCTTTGAGAATGTTTTATAAGAATGATGCAAAAAAGTATTTGATGGGTAATTGAAGTACAAGCACAGGGGCCACAAAATTAGCAACTGTGTTGAATTTTGCATAAGGAACCACAAACAAGGTCTAGGAACTGAATCATACAGATAAACCGAAGAAATGAGTAAGGCTGTTTTTGAAAGCAACAGAGTTATAAAAGACCTGAAAAGAGACTGGAAAAAAATTACATGGTCCAATTCTCGTTTGCTTCCCAAGTTCTCATGCTGCATAGACTGTAATGGAAATACATGTCGTTCATCAGAGTTGATGTCAGAGGGCTTGCATCTGTACCTGGGCTTTCATTTTCTTGAATTCAATCACAAGATTTCAACCCAAAGTGGAAAACTCCCCTTTCCCATTAAATAGAATATCAGTTCTACTGATAATGTTCAAGGGATGGAGACACACATAGTTCTTAGTTTTTCTCTTATCTGGTGAGTGAGCACAAAAGGGCACAGTCTTCTTTACAATTCCAGGTTCTCTTTAATTCTCTGTTAAACAAAGAATGAGATTCAAGACACCAAAGACTCAACTTCACCTACTAGAGATGCTCTTTAAGGAGTTTCTTCTCAAAGGAAGAATGGCACACACAATGACTACAAGTTGCCAAGGTGATCATAAGTAGAGAGGAGATGAGCATTACAAAATGCTAGAGTTGTTGTCTCTCCGGTCTGTGAAACCTTAATAAGATGAAGGTATAGCGATCATTCCTTAGGATATATGATTTAAAAGGAATCTTGTGCAAACTTAGAGAAGATCCCAAGAAGAAGAAAACTTTATCTTGGGTATATTTTCATTTTCTAACAACAGTCAAGTGAATGAGATGAATGGGTGCGGGCAGAATGACCATCATATGTGCTGATCTCTGTTCCTAAAATTGAAGTGGTCAGGAAAGGTGGTCAGGAAAAGTGGTTAGGAAAGAAGACTTGCAAGGAAATTAGAGGTAGGAGGGGGTGGGGAGTATCCCACCTTCAATGCCAGGGACATAGACCACTGTTTCAGGGATGTTTCCAAGAAGTGAGCAAGCAAGAAGTGAAGTTATCATATCTTTAAAATACAGCTTGTGCCAAGGAATCTTTTTTCATCCAGTACCCATTCCCCAGTGTATTACTATGTAACTGTTCCTTAAAGTGTTATATACTTAAAAAAAAAAATAAAAATCATAAAAGTAAGAAAAGTCATATTAGTTGACAATGCAAGGATTCACATGAACTACGGGAAAGTAGATTTGCAAGAATCAGTGCTTGAAGTAACTATACCAGGCAGATGTCACAAAATCTACAAAAGGCCGTTTTCCAGTGGACAAACTACTAGAGATCTGTGCCAGATACAGAGTGCTGATGACAAGGAAAGGTAGGTTGTTATTAATAAACACACTCCCTAAGAGGTATGTAGTAATTTCACATCTGAGTG